AGTGTATGTGTGGCCATAAAATGTCAGGGACAGAATTAGGGAAAAAAATTGCCTAAAAGTCTACTTAGGGGACAGTAATGAAAAAAAGTTGAGAAATACCCTTAAGATCCTAAGATAAAAGGAATATTTATATCAATTACAAATATATTTTCTAAGTGATTGCCTTTCTCCATGTCTATTCATAGAAGATTTCCATGTAACGGAAATATTAGTAAAATAAAATGAATGTTGAAGACTCCTGTTTCAGGGTGTGTCTGCAGATCTTAATTGTTTCAAGGAAGTCTCTTATATATACTATATTTGAGGTATTTCATATATTTGTATCTCTGTTCTTTTTTCTGAAAACATAGAAATTCCTCTATGGTTTTATTGGCACTGGTTACCATCATTGAATGTGAATGGAAAGCCCTTTAGACACCTGTGATCAATTAGCTTTTGATTATTGGCTAATTATGCACATTTAAAATATACTCAAGAGGCAGATATTTACGGTTAAGTAGAATAATTAAACTAATATTATGATTGAAAGTATCTTAATCTTTCATCAGTCCAGGGCATTCATGGAAGGAATATGTAATATTTTATTGTATATGCACAATTTACAAAGATCTTTCAAACAAGCTCCACTTGCTAATTATGTAGCTCATTGGATCCTTACTAGGGCACTGTGAGGTTGGGATTATTATATTTTACTGTTTTCATTTTAGAGCTAAGGAAACTGAGGCTCAGTCACTTTAAATGGTTTGTTCGAGAGACTTAGCTGGAACTGGTGTGTCTTAGTCAGCTCAGGCCGCCAGAACAAAATACCGCAGACTAGGTGGCGTAGGGGGCAAAATTCTTTTTCTACCATCTTCTTAGGTTCTCTGCCTGGGGACTGTAAACTGGGCTGACGAAAGACAGATTAGCAAGAGGAAAGCTGAAGTTTATTAGCATGTGCCTTGCGCTTACGCGTGGGAGCATAAGAGATGAGTGACTCAAAGAATTGGTTAGCACTGGGCTTATATAGCGTTTTAGCAAAGGAGCCATCTATTTTCAGAGAAGTGACACAATAAAGGAAAAGGCCCTTGAGTCTATGGGCAGCAAACTATGGTAGACAAAGCCTGGTTAGTAAGGTTTGTTATGTAGATTCCTCTGGCTGTCTCCAGGTTGATGAGAATCTAAAGTTCTCTCCAGTGATTAACGTCCCTCCTGGTGGAGAGGGGAGGAAACTTCTGTCCTATTTTTAGGCAAATAGGAGAAGCACAGAGACCTTTTCTTGTATCTGCTTCTTCTCAGTTGCCTTCAGCTCAAAATAATCCTTATGCCAAAGTGGCATACTTTGGGGTGGCATATTCTGCTGCCCTACAGTGGCTTAAACAACAGAAATTTATTTTCTGAGTTCTGGAGGCCAGAAGTGCCAGAGCAAGGTGCCATCAGAACGGGTGTCTGGTGAAGACTCGCTTCCTAGCTAACAGATGGCTGCCTTCTCGCTGGGTCCTCACATGCCCTTTCTTTTATGCGTGTTTGCGGAGAGAAAAAGATCTCTGGTGTCTCTTCCTTTTCTTATAAGCTCACCAATCCTATCAGATGAGGTCCCCACCTTTAAGATGTCATTTCACCGTAATTACCTCCCCAAAGTCCTATCTTCAAAAAGAGTCTCACTGGGGCTTAGGGCTTCATCATATGAATTCTGGGGGGACACAACTCAGTCCATAACATAGTGGGACTGGGATTTGAATTCCTCTCCTCTGATTCTCAAGCCTGTCTTTATTGGTCCCATTACGTGACCCCTCCACAAGCTGGCATCCATCCCCTAAACCAGGGCCAGACCACTGGCAGCAAGCCTAGGCCAGGCAGGCAGCCCTCTGACCGTGGCGTGACTGCTAGGGTTTGGAGGCAGGTAGGCATCATCTGCATCAGGGGGAGGAAGGGCGGGCAAGGCAAGGTTTCCCTGGCTATGGCCGTTGCCTTAATTCAGGTGCTCATTACTTCTGGCCTCGACTATTGGGTCAGTCCGCTGTTTATTTTCGCTGCCTCTAGCCTTGTCCCACTCTATTCCATCCTCAGACAGACAAGTATCCTTTTTCTAAAATGCAAGTCTAATCACCTCTTTATTGTGCTTAAAGCTATTCAGTGTTTCTTAACATCTGGATAAAGTCTAATTCCTCAACTCTGCATTTAAGAGCCTTCACGACCCTGGCCAGGACCACAGGTCTGACATCGTCTCCTGCCTTCTCTCCTTGTATTGAACATTCTGGCCACACAAAACTCCCTTTTGTTCTCTCCAATACACTGTTTGAGAAAATGTCTATCATTAATTCAAAACTCAGCTCAGATGGCATCTCTTCTAGGAATCTTCCCTAGAAATCCCTCCCAAAAATTTTAGCCACTCTTTTCTTTCTGAAGCCGTGATAACTGATTATAAAAAGCAGTTATCCCCTAGTGGAATTGTCCCCGTTTTTACCCCCCCTAATGGAATGTGGGCCTCATGTGGAATAGGGCTCAGCAAATACCTGCTAAGCAAACGAGCGTTTTTGGTGGCTGGTCCCTCCCTCAGCTGGGTCTCTTCATCTTCTTCATCCCTCAGCAACCAAGGAAGCCAACCTATTGGTCTGGGGATATCCTACCTGGTTTTTCTCCATCTCTAAAGGCTGATGGATAATCTCAGTGAAAAAAACTGTCCCTCATAGATTGTCTGCAGTGTTAGCAAATATCACTAGGAAAACTGGATTTCTCTCTATGCTTGGTAACCATTACTTTATTCTCTCCTTTATTTGGAATAACTCTTTCTATACCTTCTGGCAGCCCAACTCCATATAGCTTGTAGAACTCTGGGGGTCTCACTGGAAGTCAGTACTTCAAGCTTTCCTACAGCCAGCCAAGGCACTTGGAAGGTCTAGGTTTGACCTGGAAGGTCAAACACCAAGCCCTAGACAATATCCCTTTGGTCAGAAGCCAGACTTGGCTCTTAACTTACCACCTGCAGCCAACTGTCTCCTGAACTAATTGGTTGGCCGACTGTTCCGGCTTTTTCTCACTGACCAGCTGTCTAACTCAGTGGTCTATCGCTTCCTTCTCTACTTGAGATACGCTGAATCTTCCACAGATGACCTCTCTGCCCGCCTCAGAGTCTACCGTTTATCCTCTCTCTTTCCTCCTTCTCCTGGAGCAAAACCACCCTCAGTGCTGACCCAAGGAGAGAAAGAACTCAGGGAACCTTAAAACTCTCCTGTTTTATTATAGAAGGGAGGAATTGCAGTCTATAACAAAATTGTCTTAACTTTAGTCAAACACACATACAATCCTGAAGATTATTAAAATGCTTCTCCATTTTAGGAGAAAGATATCTATTCCAGCCTGTGCAGAATCCACAGGGTGGTGAAGGTTCATGCATGGCTTCTCTATCCTGTCTGACCTGCCCCAGCCATCTTTTGTTGGCATGAGACCTTGGTGTAAGACTCTCAGTGTCCATATGCTAATCCCTGTGTAACAGAGAGTAACATTGTTGAACTTGCTTTCTGGAACTCTTTCCTATTTTCTACTCTACATTTTATATCTTGATTTTATTCTATTTACTATCACACTACAAAAATCTTGCATGTTTTTTCACATGATCTTCACAATTGTTATAACAATATTCATCAAGTGAATATAAATAGATTTTCAAATATTCTCCTTTATTTACTAATTATATGATGTTTTTCACTCATATATAACACTTCAGTGAAAATCTTCACAAATACAGATTTTTAAAAATTCTTTTGACTGACTTCCTTAGGATTCATTTTCAGTAATGGAATGGACTGGGTCAAAGGACAGGAGTATCACCATGACTCCTTCAAGCTATCATCATCTTGCCTTTTATATACGGCACCAACTATGTGTAGGCACCTTTATGAGAGCAAGATCTCCCACACTGAGGGCTACGCTTTCAATTTATTTTATTAATTAAATAAATATAAAATACTATTTTCGGTTCCATTTAAATTTCTATTTAAGTCATGGTCAGCCCCTTCAAAGTACAACTTCTTATTAAGGCACGGTCAACTCAGACTTTGTAAGCACCACTAACTAAACTGCTGTTCCCAAGTTCTTTTAAATCCCATTCATTTCCACTTTGGTTTGAGACTTCTTTGACCTCTGAAAACATGACATCCTGCATCTGGTTCAAGGGGGCCCTTTCCTGGCTCCCCTCTACTCTCTCCTGTCCTTGCCTACACTGGTGTCCCCAGGCAGCATCTCTCTAGATTGTGCATCAGCTCTGCCATGCAAGTTATGTCTAACTCTGCATTTCTTTCCCCTAGAAACATGTTTGACTCTGTTCCAAATGCTCAGGATTACTGTTCTTTCCAACAATGCTGTCAGAGCCCAAAATAGTTTGGAAAATGTTCTTTGGAAATTGTTTTGAAAGCCATTGGCATGTTCTTTTGAATCTTCTTATTGGTGGCAAAGCTTGGCATTTAGAAGGTAGTTTTATTTTATTTTTGGGGAAGGAAACTAGTATCTTTACATACTTTGCATATCAGACAGGACCTTGTCAGAAGCCAGAAACTACACCATTCTTTCAATGGAGAGAATTTCATAGAAAGAGAATTATTTCCCCGATAGAAGCAAACTGAGCAGGCAAAAAGGCGATACTGAGGTATCACAAAGAGAGTAGCTGCAGAAGCAGTCACCTCCCCTGGAGATGGGGGAACAGAAGGAAGACGTCAGGGTCTTAGAAGCTTGCAGAAGGGACCTGCAGAGCTGGCACTCAGCTCTTGAGGGAGGAGGCGGGCGTAAGCAAATGGTGCTCCGAGTTTGGAGTCTGGAGAAGAGGCACCTAGGAGTTGGGATTCTGACCCCGAGGAGAAGGTGCCGGTGGCTGGTGCTGCATTCCTGAGCAGGCTCCAGGAGGTTGGTTCTAAGAGGTTGGAAGGACAGCAAACCGGAAGCACCTGCCCTGCTGGAACCAGCGGCTGCTGCCAGGGTGGAGAATGTTGCTGGGGCAACGCTCATAGGAACGGGAAGCAAACAAAAGAGAAAGTCTCTATCCTTCCTCCAACCCTTCAGCTCCCTGTGGCATCCTGATAGGCAGGGCCTAAAAGGAGCCAGCTGGCAAAGGAAAAATGTCATTTGCAGAGGCTCAGCCCCAGCATCAGAAAGCAGAGCAGGGAGGAGGGGAAAATTGAGCCGAGAAACAATGGTTTAACAACTAGCACCCCAGCATGTGCCAGGAGCTCCGTAAGTATTCTCAAATATGAGATTTCCTCTGGTCCTCATGTCACCCCTGCAATTAAGGAACTCTTGCCCTAGTTCATGGATGAGGAAGTGGAGGCCCAGAGAGAGTATGTAATAACAGTGGCACTAGAATGAAAACATATTTCTCTGTTCATGTTCACTGCTTCTTCCACTACGTCTGCTGAAGTTGAGCTTTCTTCTGGATGACAAGGGGGGTGGCTTTCTTATTTCTGAGGGGGGCTGCGATGAGGGAAGATAAGAGGGAAGAAAGGAAAGAGCCACGGAAATGGCATAAGGCTACGCCACATGTAATACAATTCTTCCCTGTAACCCATGCCCAAATCTTTAAAAAATTCTACCCGACTCACAAACATCTGGAGTAAACGGATTTCTTATGGAAACTGTTAAACAGACTTGGAGAGGAACAAGGACAGCATCTGGAGATGCAGCACAAGAGTAAGAGAGGGTAAAGCCTTTGGCAGCAGAAATCTTCGGAAGTTTCATGACTTCTCTAGGCTGTGCAATTGGTCTCTATCTTCAGACTTTGGAGGCTCTATTTGATGTTTCGATCATAACGATTTTACAGACAGAGAAGTTGAAGCTGAGAAAGGATAGGTCACGTGATGTAGCTAACAAGTTGTTCATCTTGGATGTGAACTCTGTTCTGATTCCAAAAATACTTCCTTTCCAAAAGAGAATGGAGAGCGAGGTCACAATTTATTACATACCTGGAAATATGCTAATTGATTATTTTGTTTAATCCTCACAATTTCATGAGGCAGCTACCATTACACCTATTTTACAGATGAAAAACTGAGGCTGAGACAGGCTAAATGCCTCATTCACAGCCAGCAGGAAGTGGAGCTGGAATCCCCGCCTGACTCTATTGGGCTCCAAATCCTGTGCCTTCACCCAGCGCTTCTCAAACTCCAGCATGCCTGAGAATCACCCAGGGATCCTGTTACATGCAGATTTATGCTCAGTAGATCTGGGGTGGGGCTTGAGATGCTGCGTTTCTTTCTTTCTTTCTTTTCTTTTTTAAAGATTGGCACCTGAGCTAACAACTGTTGCCAATCTTCTTTTTTTTTCTTTTCCTGCTTTTTCTCCCCAAATCCCCCAAGTACATAGTTGTATATTTTAGTTGTGGGTCCTTCTAGTTTTGGCATGTGGGACACTGCCTCACTGTGGCCTAATGAGCGATGCCATGTCCGAGTCCAGGATCCGAACCTGCGAAACCCTGGGCCGCTGAAGGGGAGGGTGCAAACTTATCCACTCGGCCACGGGGCCGGCCCCTAGATGCTGCATTTCTAGTACATGCCCAGTGCTGCTGCTGCTGGTCCCTGAAGCTCACTTTGAGCAGCAAGCCTCCTCCTGATGACATCACACTGCCTCCCTAGCCTCCAAGCCCACTTGGTCGTCTTCACGTTGGGTCAGCACCGACACCCCAGGGGCCTCTTGGTCAAGCTCAGTTGTGATACGACACTCAGAGCACGTCCTTCTTCCTCTTTTCTTCCTCTGAAATTCTTCATAGTAAAATAAGAAACCAAACGATCTATCATCTGGCAGGTCATTAAGGAAAACATGATTTTTGCCCCCATGTGACTCCATTCAATTAATGAAGCTGTCATTAAAGCTCATGAATATGTCGAGAAAATTAGTTTCAGGTGTTGGATTGTTTTGGCGCTAAAATTATTTCTATATTTTTAATGAGGAATATTTGCAATATCATCACCTTACTTTCCCATCAGGGGCTTACAGCTCAGGATGCCTAAGAAGTCTGGCATATTGGGGGTCAACGGGTTGTTTCCAGGAAGCAATTAACAACAGCTTATTGTTGTCTCTTTCTGGTACCAAGAGGCTGCCCATTGAGGATGTTTCCAGAGCCGTAGCATTCTTGGGGGAAAGAGAAGCAAATGTAGGTATGAAAAGTGCTGACAACTTCATAAAGGGACCCAAAGAGTGCTAATCAGGGATCTCCCACTGACGTTGTTTTCCCATAAAATGGAAAGCCTTAAGGCAGATTCATTTTTCCTCTCTAACATAGACCATTTATTTTGTAAATTCTGGTTAAAAGAAACGTTTTAATCCAAGAGGTAAATGGGGGTGAATTAATATTTTAAAATAAAAACTGACATGTTTTCCCTCTGCAGTCCCACCTCTTTTCATTTCCTAACTTATTTCAAACTAAACCTCAGCATTCCCAGCTCTCATTGTCGGGTTGTTGTGGCAGAAATGCAAAGAGAATCAAAATAAATCTTTTTTTTTTTATTTTTTGGCTTTGGAGCTTTAAAACTGAACCAGGACTTTAACAATAAGTTTGGAAAAATACATAATAGGATAAGTTTGCTTGCTCTCCACACAGGGGAGCTAAAAGCGTCTGGGCTGGACCGTTGACAGAATTCAATGAAGTGACAGCTCAGGAGACAAAGTTCTCCGCTGGTGGGGCTCTGAGAAAGGGTCTTGTTTTGTTCCCCCATCCATGGGCTGAGACCCTAGGAGAGGAGGGGAGAGGGAAACAATCGAAACTGAGATAATAGTCCTGCTTGGTATTGGGTGTGTTCTCCACTATGAGAAGTTTCTGGGGATATCTTATGTGTCTTTTCAAATATCACTTTCTATTCTCCATGTTTTGTGTGTCAAGTAGTTGGTCATTTTTACTGTTGAATAACATGCTATGGTATGAATATGCTCTAATTTCTTTATCCATTCACTTGTGGGTGGACCTTTGGGTTGTTTCCAGTTTTTGCTATTACGAAGAAAGCTGATACGAATATTCATGTACAGCTCTTTTTCAAATAAACTTTCTAATTTTGGAATAGTTTCAGATTTACAGAAAAATTGCACGGATAATACCGAGAGTTCCTATATATCCCACACCCAGTTTCCCCTATTGTTAACTTCTTACATTAGTATCATGCATTTGTCACAATTAATGAACCAATATTGACACATTATTATCAACTACAGTTCACGCTTTATTCAGATTTCCTTCATTTTCACCTAGTGTCCTTTTACTGTTCCACCATCCCATCCAGGACGCCATATACATGAAGTTGTCACATCTCCTTAGTCTCTTCTTGGCTTTGACAGTTTCTCAGACTTACCTTGTTTTTCATGAGTTTGACAGTTTTGAGGGGTACTGGGCAGATATTTTGGGGGATGTACCTTTATTGGGATGTGTCTGATGTTTTTCTCACGATTAGACTAGGGTTATGGGTTTTGGAGAAGAAGATCATAGAGATAAAGTGCTCATCACACAGATCAAACATACATACTAGCAACGTGTGTTGGATTTTTTCAATATTTTTTCTGCATCTTTTGAGATCATCATAATTTCTCCCACATGTTTTGTTAATGTGGTGGATTATGTTAATTGATTTTCAAATATTAAATCAACCTTGAATTCCTGAGGTAAACCCCACTTAGTCATAATGTATTATCCTTTTTACATATTCCTGGATATAATTTGCTAATATTTAGTTGAGGATTTTGTGTCTATGTTTATGAGTTATATTGTTATTATATTTTCTTACAATATCTTTGTTGGTTTTCTTATCAGAGCAATGCTTTCCTCATAAAATAAGTTGAGAAATGTTCTCTTCTATTTTCTGAAAGAATTTGTAAGATTGATATCATGTCTTCCTTAAACGTTTGATAGAATTTACCAGTGAAGCTTCTGTGCTTGAGATTTTCTTTGTTAGAAGGTTTTTAATTAAAAATTCTATTTCCTTAATAGATATATGGGCATTCAGATTTATTTCTTCTTGAGTCGGTTTTAATATGTGTGTTTTCAAGTAATTTGTCCATTTCATCTAAGCTATCAAATTTATTGGTGTAAATGTGTTCATAATATTTTCTTATTATGTTCTGAATGTCCGTATGATCTCTACTGATGTCCCTACTTTCATTTTTTATATTAGCAATTGAATTTTCTTTCTGTCTCTTTCCCTTTCCTTCTTAGCAGAGATTTATCAGTTTTGATAATATTTCAAAGAATCAACTTTTGGCTTTGTTAATTTTTCCTGATGTTGGTTTTCTATTTCATTTATTTCTGCGTTTACCTTTCTTATTTCTTTCCTTCCTCTTCTTTTGTGTTTACTTTGTATTTTTTTTCCCTTAGCTTCTTAGGTGAAAATTCTGATTTTTTATTTGAAGCGGGTTTTTTTTCTACTTTAGTCATTAAAGCTATAAATTTCACTCTAAGCACTGTTGTTGCTGCTTCCCACACATTTTAATACGTTGTGTTTTCATTATCACTCATTTGAAACATAGCCCAATTTCTCTTGTGATTTCTTCTGTGACCCATGGATTGTTTAGTAGTATGTTATTTAATTTCCAGATATTTGGGGAGATTTTATAGATAGTTTATTGTTGCTGATTTCTATTCACTTGTGACCATAGATTGTATTCTACAAAATTTCACTCTTTTCAAATTTATTGTGAATCATTTTTTGGTCTTGCTATGTGACTTTGCCATTTGTTCTGCAAAAAAGATGGAATATATTTTGCCACCCTTGATTTTCGAGTTGACTATGTGACTTGCTTCAGCCGATAGAATGAGGTGGAAGTGATGGTATGCTAGTTTCAAGCCTAGGTACAAGAGGCCTTGTATATTTCCTATTGGTTTCTGGAGATTTTGCCAACCCCGTGGAAAGAGCATGCCAGGGCTAGCCTGCTGGCTTGGGGGAGGATGAGAAACACAAGGAGTAGGTGTAGCCTTAATCAGCCAAAGTCTAGTTGATCTCCAGATATATGATCAAAAATAAATAATTGCTGTTTTAAGCCACTGAGAGTTTTGAACAGTTTGTTGTACAACAAGAGCAAACTGATACAGCCACTCTCGATGACGGGAGTTTGAATGGATGCTCAAGGGTGAGCTGCTGGTCTGTACTCATTCCAGTAGGCTTCCCTGCTCTTTTGGGCTGAAGCACTGCCTGGTCTCTGTCACCTCCCTTCCAGCTGCTGCCATTACTTTACTTCTCTTAGAATATTGAAAATGGATA